CACCACTGACTGTGAGTTCGCAACATCCTCCACCCGAGAACATAGACAGCAGAAGCAGAGGTGGTTTCCAACTTACTTCAGCACCAATTGCTGGATATCCGCGAGCATATATTGAAGATTGCACCTCCGGTGAAGGCTGAAAGAGACAGACAGTTTTGCATGTGTTGATGGTGAGCCCGAATTTGGCCGCTGTCGAAGCCAGAGCACTAGTCATGTGCTGCAACTCATCCGCGCTGTGTGAAAACAACGCACAGCCGTCAGCAAACAGCAACCTACGGATAGCTGTCTCACAGACTAGAGTTATCGCACCGAAACGACGGATGTTCAGCAACCCACCATCAATACGGTGCTCCACACGAACACCGTAAGCACAAGCCGCATCAAAAGCACAAGACAACATTGCATGAAGATAGATATTAAACCGGGCAGGAGCTAAGACACAGCCTTGCTTCACACCAGAGGCAACTGTAAATTCATCTGATGTTTGTCCACAGAGCTTCACCCTCGCTCGCATACCACTATACAAACCTTCAATAAACTTGCAAACCTGGTAAGTAAACAAAGAGCGGGTATAACGGGTGGAGTCGATATCTACCCATCTGCAAATGACGGGTCGCAAGCACCATATCTATAGTGCTGCGACCCGAACGGAATCCGCACTGCTCTTCCGCCACGTTAGGTTCCACAACCTGACTGACGAGGCGGTTGAGCAGGATTCGAGCAATCACTTTGCCCACACAACTCAGCAAGTTGATGCCACAATAATTCGCGGCACATTGCTTGCTCCCTTTGCCTTTGTACAGTGGTAGCACAAGGGCATCATTCCGCTCAGGAGGCACCTCCTCCTCAATCCACCCGCGTTGCATCAGGTGGTGCATCACAGTCAACAACGCGGGTCCGCCGTGTTTTAATACTTCAGGCGGGTCCCGTCGGCATCGGCACACTTGCCGTTTCGCAGCTGAGCAAGTGCTCTCTGCGTCTCATCCAGTGTCGGCGTGTCCGTCAGACACGTCTTTACGTCGTGCTGCTTTAGGCCAGCCAATCTCTGAACGGTTGTTCATGTGACAGTCAAAGTGTTTTTGCTAGATCTGCAGTCTCTTTGCAGATAGCGCCTGAACTACCATCGATCAGCATCCTCAGCGGCTCCAATTTCGGTCCATACATTGCCTTCAAGAAGACAAAGAATTCCTTGTGTTGGCAACGTTCTCTGTGGCATTCCATCTGCTTCGCCTTCTCCGTCCACCGTGCATTTTTAAAGTGACGGAGCCCTAGGGTCAGTCGCCGTCGAAGTTTGCGAAACTGACTATTCTTCTCCAAGTCACTGGTGTTGTGCAGAAAATGCTGCATTCTTCTCCGACACCAATACGCCAATCGTCGCATTGTTCTCATCAAACCAATCAGGCCACTTACAGTTTCGCGCCCGATGGTCTCCTCGGCAGCAGCTGTCACCTGGTCGTGAATTTGGTGCCACAGGTCGCCCACTGTGGCTATGCATTCCACATCACACAAGAGCACAGCCATCGCCTTCTCCAGCTCAATACTTTTCAGCACAGTACCGAGGGAGGGAATGTTAATTTTACGCTGAATCATGGCGACAGTGAAATGCACAGATTTACGAAAATATATATACAGTTTGGTCCGCACCAATTTGTGATCAGTGCCACACTCAGCACCACGCAGTACATGTGTCATGCGCATTTCATGCATATCACGCTGACGTACGATGACATAGTCAAGCAGGTGAGCGTGGTCACTCCTTTGGTGCATCCAATTTGCAATATCGCTTGCACTCAATGCAAACCGAGTGTTCGTGATCGTCAAGCGGTGAGTGGCGCACTGTGACAGCAGCCTGTCACCATTCGCATTCGCTGAACCAATGCCATGCGGACCGATGACATCTGTCCACACCGATGCATCACGCCCAACGCGCGCGTTGAAATCACCCAGCAGAAATGGTAGGTGCTCGGCACAGACCGTATCATGGAGGATAGCTGAGTGCGGAATCGATCACGCGTGTCATCAGGATAACACATGTTTGGACCGTACGTGCTGAGGAAAGTGGAAAACTTACCTCTTCCGAGTTGTAGGCGAACAGTCATCAGTCGCGCGCTGATGCCTGTTGGTTCACCCACCAGCTGGCCATGGAAGCGATCGGATATTGCAAATCCGACCCCATGTTCAACTGGTGCTGAGGCGGCGTTGCCCACCCAGTAGAATGTGTAGCCAGCACCTGTTTCACACAACTTACCTTGCTCAGCCAGCCGGGTTTCACTGAGCGCCGCAATATCGATGTTGTAGCGCGCCAGTTCCATCGCGGCCGGTGCAGTGCTTCGCTCGCGGCGCTCCCTTGAGTTCCAGTCTAGTAGTGTGCGCACGTTCCACCACCCGATATATATATATATATATATATATATATATATATATATATATATATATATATATATAGCTTCCTTCCAAAGGTAAGCTGGTGGTTTCTCCTCACGAGTCTTCCCAGTTTACCAAAAACAGCAGCTGCCTTCGATACGCAGACTCTCAGCTCGCTCATCATCTGCAAACCGGTTAATATTGCGCTCCCGGATGTGAAATTTCAATGCTGTCTCCTACACCTCAACTTGGGTTTGGAGCAGACTCATGGACTCCATTCTTAGTGAAGGCTGGTTAAAACAGTCTTGCTTGTGTTGATGGTGAGCTCGAATTTGGCCGTTCTCAAACCGAGGGCCGAAATCCTGTGCTGCAATGTATCCATGCTGTGTGCTAACAACTTACAGTCGTCGGCGAACCGCAACATATGGCTAGTTGCCTCACACACTCTGGTTCCCACTCCTCTTGTTGAGGTTGATATTGCATACAGCATACCTCCTCACCGCAGTTGGGCTACACCGACTTGCACTTCAATTAGATCTTAATCTGGATAATATTATTCCACTATTTGATCCGCCCCGTTCTATTATTCTGCTGCATATCCTATGTCAATTTTGCGTGTTTATTTCCCCCCCCCAATTCTGTGTTAGTTTTTTTATATCCCCGTTGTGGCTGCGCTTGATGTGAATGCAGACAAGGTGCCTACTTGTCTAACACCCTCCATCTCGATTACTGGCTCCATGAGGCTGAATCGTTGCTGAAGGGGACGGGACACACGGTCCTCAAGGCCTTGCTAGACTCAAAGATAGGTTCTGTGCATCAAGTATGGAGCGGACTACGGCCCAGAAGCCGCCTTGTGTACTTCTAGTACGCATGATTCCTACATTGATAGACAGGAATGCTGCTGCTGTGCATTTTGAAGGAGTGTGGGTCGACTCCGTTGGTGAAATGTGGCGTTTATCCTCATGCCTCCCGGTCTTATTCCTTTTGGTTTACACTGGATATAGGGTGTGGGGATGGAACTGTGGCTGTTACAGCGCAATCCACCCATGTCTTGGCACTATTGACGCCGTCTAGCTCGTAGTGACCCCTTTTGTATGTAATCTAGCCTTCTGATGGTGTTGAAGACCGTAAACACAGAAAAGTGGATCCCGTTCTCTCTCTGCTGCTGTTTCGGCTTTCCAAAATGCCCTCGGAATGCTTTTCAGTGGTCTCTTCAAAACATTGCAGAATGTCGGGTTAGCTTCTTTCTGTTGTTTCCTCCACTTTTGCGCTGAGTATGTGTACCTTCTCGCTTGTTTACATTGATGATGGCATTTTCGACTTCAGCAGGTTCGTGGGTGGTTTTGCCGTCGAGGAAAACAAACTTGGTAATGATCATCTTCTGTTTACGTGACCTTCGGTTTTCACCGTCGTTGCCTCGGGGATGCGTCCCCTCCTCATTCCTCGCTCATTTTGGTCGTTTCGTGCAGCACAAGGCTAATAATCCCATACAAAACACGCGTAGGTCTATAGAGAGACAGGAGAAAGCTGGGTCACCGCCTTAGGTCGAAATGAACGACAGCCGTAATCAAGAGATGGACTTGCATGATCACCCACTGCGTACGCAGTTCGGTTGCTTTAGCACGACCACAATGGAGTGTCATTTACGCTGGCTTGGTTTCTGTCGCATGGCAGTTAATGTTACCCCCCACTTCGCAGTGTACGCCTACACTGAAATTTGTCTTCACTGCTCCATAGATCCACCCGTTCCTACATAATATCCCTCATCTGCGCTAACATTTAAAATTCGTGATTTTAACTTAGCCTTGGCATAAATTTAAACTAATTATATTACTGTGAGTAAAGTTTTGTAAGTGTTTGCTTCTACGTTCGTGTGCTTGTGAGTGTGTTCTACCACAATTGAACCAGTGAAGCATTTAATAAATCGATTATGTAAATTTTGTTGCCTCTGGTCAGCTTCATACTAATCGCAACATTTCGCTTGATGCCAACACCACATCGCAGCCGCTGTCCGTTCGCCTTTTGTATTACCGGGATGAATCTTTATCGTTAACATACACTAAGTGTGTTGTGCGAGACCTTGGATGCCCGCATACTACATCCCATCGATCTGACTAGTCAGCCATCTTTTCCACTTCCGTTCAACATTCGTCTAACTAGAATTTTGTTAACGGTGGGGAAGCTGGCTACATGGTCAGCCTTATTTTTGCTGTACCTGCTGGCCTAATTCTTGTGGCGTTCCCGTTCCCGCGGTCCATCTTGTGTCATGCTGATATTTTGCCCGTCGATCATATAGCCGATGATCCTTTTGTCGTTTTGTGCTCATATTCTTAGCAATAATACCTTTGCATTGATGCTGTGCGCGGTCCATTATTCTGTTTTTCTTATTATGATTACGTCATCCGGTTCGTTCGTTATTCAACCCCTCCAGCTGACGGATGATCAGCTGATCGAGGGCCTCAATGATGAGCACACCATGATCGTCAAAGGACGCAGCACATCCAAGCATCGATTCACCGTGGATGAGTTCAGAGAACTCTTAGTCGAACGAAACCAGCTACAGTCTCGATTAATTGAGGTGGAGGAAGAGTTACTGGTATATAAACGGGCTGGGTAAGTCTCACTCTTTCTTACTCATAACACATATGCTGCATTTTTCATTCTTCACTGCTGTCCAAGATTAGTTCTAGGCAAGATGTAACGCTGGCCATAAGCTCAGCTTCGTCCTTATGTTCAAATTCGAATCTTTTCTTTTTGCTTTGGTTCTACTTAGCAGTGTAACCAGTCACTTCCTCTTTGTTAATTTACCAATTCTAGCAATTCAGCAACCATCTGCTATGTTAACTGACATCGATTGGTGCGTGTATCTGGTCGCGTCTCACTCTCAGCCAAAGAAAATACTTAACTTTGCAGGTTCTGATTACTCGAGTGGCTTGTTTAGGGATAAACATCTCACACTTTTCTTCAAACTGTGCTGATAGTAAGCACTTGTTTGGCTGCCGAATTCGACCAGCTTCATTTCTTTCCCTCTATCTTCGCACCGAGCTGAACACAACCTTCCATCTAATGCTGGCTTTTACTTGGAATGCGATGGAGATTCTAACCGCCTACTTCCTTTAACTTCACGGTTGTTTTTCTATCATGTGCGTTTCCTTCGCATATCCCCAAGGTCAAATCTTGGTTGCAAAACACTACCGATTGTGTTGTTTTTGACACTCATTAGGTATGCTGGTCGTTGGCCGATGAGTCGCGTCACATTTGTGACAGATAAAGCTGCGTAACATCACATCTTCAGTTCATTTTTTCCTTGTATCCGACAGAGCCAAACTTTTTCCGTTATGTGGCATTAATTCGGTATTAGGAAAAGCTTGTGAGACCACCATCACTTAAAATAGCGTTCAGCAGTTACATTTATCAGCCCTTCCTCTCAGCAAGTCCACTTTAAAACAGTGCACGAGTAATGCATTGTGCCACTGTGATAGTTTGTGCGGCTGAGTCAGCAGTCGAATCGCGGAGCATATGCATGCCTGCAGTGATACGTGCTTGTCTGACGATCGCGTGGTTTGCAGGTGACTGTCTTGCTCTACACTGCTCCACTATGTCCGACATCTCATCACAATGAGACTGGACCTTCACGTGGTGCAACATTTTGCGTACCTCATTGACCCATTGTGCTATACTGGTTGGTACCTCCGGGTCTCTTGAGAACTACTGCTACTACGTTCAATAGTTAGTTGTCATACAAACTCAGTCTCCTAGTCCTCCAGTTTGGGGGTTTTAAATTGGATAGCTTACATTTCTGTAAAACTAAATCATTACCACTTTTCCGCTGCCTTGCGGACAGGCTTTTGAGCCAAAGACTCGTTGAGGACGCTAATCGTCTTCCTGTCTAGGTCTGAGCGCCCCATAAGTATCTCAGCCCACGCACAACCTTGACTATTTCTTCAAACCTCAATAATGTCCTGCATGGGCCGTCGCGTAGCTCATCAAGCGTCGCCTTATCTGTTGCATACAGCAGGGTGGATAAGCGAAAACATGCTACTCCTGGCGACTCCCCTCTTTATTCCACTTGTATTTCTTACTTTCCTTCCAAGCCATATTACTAGCATCCCTTCTATAGTTCCCTGCTTAATTTGTAGCAGCCATAATGCCACCAGATTCTAACCACCTGCAGCTATCTTCCCCACACTACCTACAGGACGCCTATCGGCAACAGCCCCTTATAAGGCCACGCTGCCCCGTTTCCCTGGCGGCGTTCAACGTTCGCACTCTACGACGAATAGGTCGACAGGCTGCACTCGCACGCACCTTGGACACATTGGGTATTGATGTGTGTTGCTTATCCGAAACTAGGATCAATGACTCCCACGGGGTTATTGAATTGACTGCACCCGGCTTGTCCTCTCGCTATTGGTTGCGCGCATCCGGAGATGCTGATGCGGCAATCACTGGGCAAGCTGAAGTGTGCATTGCTCTCAGCTCCAAGACTTGGTCATCGTTGGTTGATTGAATTCCAGTGAATAGCCGTTTGTGTGCAGTCTGTTTGACGACATCCACTAAGGTTGGTTCACGTAGTAGTACAAGACGCTGTTAGTTTATTGTTTCCACTTATGCTCCCCCTGATTACAGTTCTGGTGCTGCCAATGATACAATCTATCACGAACTGAACACGCTACCACGCAGTGGTTTCCATGGTTTTTGCTTGCTCCATGTCTCTCTGTAGAGTGCCGAAAAAGCTCTCCACTGGAATAAGGTCATTCGAGTACTATCTCCTTTAACTCTATGCATCGGTTGTGGCTGCTAGCTGTGCCTTTCGGAACTTATCATCATAGCATCCTACTGAACCATTCAATAGTTAAAATTGCATACGATGGTCACTTGCTGCTACACGTATTATCGCACCTTTCCTACCGGATTCACTCTGCCTTCTACTCACGAACAACCGAAAACAATGTACTTTTCATAATGACACCATTTTTCTTCAGAGTCTGTATTCATTCAACGTCTTCATCATAGAAAACTCTGACCAACGGGCGTTTGTAATACGCTTGATTGTCTCCATGTTTCTAAAATCACGCTACTTCTCAGGCCGCATTGCATAATCGAAGCACCCTTCTCAAGTAGACCTGAAACCCGGCTCAGACATCTTTAGCGGCTCGGTGACAGTGACTCCAGACTTTTGTCTGAGTGAGCACGATCCTTTGTTTAAGGTATTTGGTCTGCAAACTGCCACTGAACTGTCGACTCTCATAAAAGCGCACTGCATATATCCATCTATTAGTTACCCCATGTATTACAACACCGTTGCTGTTCCTTATGATTTTTGACCGTCGTCGCATGTTGAAGACTCATGTGTCGCATGAAATGGAGACTGCGGTTCTAGCATCCTTCAACTTGTGATAAAAGCTGGTCGTTTGAGGGAAGACGACCGATGCGGTTTAAATAGGCTGGGGGTCAATCAGCCGCTGTCTACACAAACTGGTCACGCTGGAACGAGCCAGAGAGAGCTAACTCAAGATCGGTTCAATCTAAAGGGAATGAAGCACATCCTTGTCACGAAGTTCGGTGTAGAGCAGGAGTCACCAACCTTCTTTCACAGTGTGCCGGCTAACTAACCGAATGATTCGCATGGGTCTCGTAATCATTGTGCACAATGCTTGCAAGTCAGTACAAAAACTGCGAGGAACGACGAACCAAACGCAACATCTGGTGTCTGCTTTCCTTAGTAGCTTTAATGACAACTAAAATAAAGGGGATCTGAACAAGAAAAGTTACTAAGTTACAAATTCCGATCGCAACCCTGGAAAAACAGTAGACTGACGGTTTCTGGCTCGCCAATGGTACACATAAAGCCTATTAGTACCTTCAGTAATAGATTATATCACGGGAATTTTTGCACTATATATATATATATATATTTCGTAAAATGTAGAAGCCACGGTTAAAATTCGCACAATAATTTGCCTCGACGGGGAATCGAGCCCCAGTTCCGAATTTGCCTGTCACTGCGACCTCCACGGGGACAGCCACAGGACGCCTGTGCCTACAGAGGGACCATGGGTGGCTTGCGCTGCATCACCCACACACCCCATATCCAGTGTAAACTCGAAGGAATAAAACCGGAAGGCATGCGGATGGGAGCCACATTTCATCAACGGATCCGGCCAACACTCCTTCACAGGCAAACACAAGCACGCTGTATTTGGTGAAGCAAGCTCACACAAGCCGATTGTTGGGCCGTATTCCCTTCCACGCAGAGTGCATGGAACCGCTCTTCGAGCTTAGCACGGCCACAAGGACCGTGCAAGCCTTCCCCTCCAGCAACGACCAACTGTCTCCTGGAGCCGGTATGGACGAGGTCCTGGGTAATAGACAGGTAGGCACCTTGTCAACATGCACATCAAGCGTAGGCACACCGGGGATATCAAGCAACAGCCAATCACCTGGAATGACGATATCAAATTAAATAAATCGGATAAGGCATATGGATAAATACCGGCTTAACTCTTCACTAAATTAGCATATGAAATAAACTCGTTCTGAACATATTCGCGATAAATTCAAGATGGCAGCAAAAGAGATCAACGTGAATAAAATTAACGAGGTTAACCACTTCCTTTAAATTACGTGTATAAGTAAACAGAAAATTTTGCGGGTAGACATTAAAATGAGGTAACAAAGTGCATGTTAACAAAATATAGCAAAGTAATCCCCTGAACTAAAGAAACTCAACATGCAAGCATGTGGTTAGTAAATCGATTGCAGCGTACTGACTACTGAGAATGAAGAGTGAGAAGACTGAAATCTGTGTTGCCCCATCGTAGGTTTATTGGACACCTGCGCGGAGTCACGTCGCTGATTCCAGCGCGGTGGCCGCATATTGCAGCTGCACTACATTTTATCCGGGTGCGATACGCTCCCTATACCTGTAGTCCGCAAAGTGGGCGTCAAAGAATCTCTTAAATTCCGACACCGATTTCGCCTCGACTAGCGTCTCCGGCAATTTGTTCCAATATTTCACCACTCGACGCTCGAAGCATAGAGGATGAGCGATGTGCTTTAAATCCGGTACCATTAATTTGTACCAGTGTCCGCTTGTGCTGCTTAGTGCGCGAACGTGCAGCAGCGGCTTCAACATAGGAAAGTGACCCAGGTGCAGTATCCGGTACGCCCTAATGCGATCAACTCGAAGCCGACGATTTGACAGGGTATAAAGCCTCAGTCTTCTACATCGTTTCTCGTACGACATACCCCGTAAACTGGGGATGAGTAGGGTGGCTACACGCTGGACCCGTTCCAGTCTCTGCACCTCACCTATTGTAAGCGGGCAATAGGCGGGTGAGCCATACTCAAGCACCGGTCTTATTATGGAAAAGAACAAACGGGTGACAACTTCTTCAGACCAAGTGCAGAATATCCGTCTAAGTGTCCAAAGCAGGCGTAGTCCGTTTGCGTCTAGTCTGTTCGTGTTGTCGAGAGACTTCAGCTCACAGCGTGAGAGTACGCCTGGATCCTTTACGGAACTGGTGGGATGCAGCCGGTGGTCGCCAGGGTGTACGCACGCCCATTACTACCTCTACCCAGACACAAACGAGGACTTGGCCGTGTTGACT